TTACTTACAGATTTAGGAGCATGCCCCAGTACTCACACTTTATCAGAAGAGCTTCACGCGTCATCTCCGGTTATATATATTTTGTCCAGGGACCCGTCTAAGGTACTGCGGATAGGCAAGGGCCCGCAAGAAGGACGGCTGATATTGGCGGCGTAGACATTGGGAACGAAGGTATTCATCTGATCATTAAGTTACAGCCTATATATCAAATTAGGTGTTTTAAGATGGCTTTCTCTATCCGCTCCTCCAAAAGGCCTCCCGGGCCCACCGCATGAGTGCGAGCCCGGGGGCTTCCATGTCCAATCTGGTCCCCAGCAGTCGGGGCGCCGAGGATGCAGCTGCTGCTGCCGCTGCTGCTCCCGCCGCCGCCGACGCCGCCGCCACCACTGCCCGGATCCATGATCGGGGGGGCCGTGTGTGTGGTGAAGAGAGGGCGGGAAATGGAGGCGGGGGCGACCGGCCGGGAACGAGCAGGCCGCGCTGACCCCGGGAAGCGGCGAGGCAGAAGGGCCGAGGGCTAGCGACACAAACTCCGGCGGCGTCGCGGCAGCGGCTCCAGTCCCGACTCCGCACTCGCGACGACGGCGGCGGCGGCGGCTCAATCCTCCTCGTGTAAGCGAGCGGATCTCCTCCCACCCAACCCCAACCACCTCCTACAGCCTCAGCGCCAACCCCACGCCCGGCACGAGTTGACCCCTCGCCGCCACCCGTACCTTCGCCTTGGTAGTTCCCGGCCCTGTGCGTTCCCGCTTCCGGCTATGAAGCGCAGCGAAGACGGGACTACGAGTTCCGGCAGCGTCCGCGCGACCCCTCTGCGGTTTTCCCGGGGGCTGACGGGAGTCGAAGTTCTGGGGTCCGGAGCAACCGGAAGCGGCTCGGGCTCCCGGCAGGCAGCGCGAGGAAGCTGCGATCTGGTGGCGGCTCAGCGACCCCACCTGTCACGGAGTGGGGGCAGGGGTCACCGAGGCGAGTCCTGGCGCGACTTGGCGAGTGTCTCAGCCTGCACGGCGGTCCACGCGTCCTGTGAGGCACAGGATGCGGGGGAAAGCTCTCAGCTCCTGGCAATTCCTTCCTTTTCACCGCCTTCTCTGCCTCTCTGAATCACTACCTGTTCTCTTTCTTTCCCCCTTCCTCCTTCCTTCTCTCCCCCCCCCCCCCCAGCCAGATTTTTTTCCTGCTTTTCAAAGCTGACGCAGAGCGCGTTTCATTTTATGTATTCATTTGGTGGAAGAGGCAGTAAAACCGTGAGACATTACAACTTAAACTGTGATGTGGCTCGTAAAGCGCTCGGGCCCAGGCTCTGCCCCGGCAGAGGGTATTATTAACTGGAAAGTTTCAATGACTCACTGTTGGACTAGTCATTTAAATCCTTCACCCAAACTTTTCCATCCCCTCCTCCTCCGGCCAAGGGCTTTGCAAATTAAACGGAGGATTGCCGTATTCCTTGATGTATCCAACTGTACCCAACTAATAGGGTTATTTTGGTAGGTCCAGCTTCTTCTGTGCACCCTTAGTTCCATTAACGTGGTTTTATTTTGAATGGTCGGATTCGCTCAAGTTTATTCTCTTGGTACTTTGTTGACTGCATCTCACGCTGACAGGTTGCGTTTAGATAAGCATGTGAAAAGAAAAAAACAAAAGATAAATACTTCGACACAACTGTGTGAAGGAGGAAAATAACTCTGGGGACCCGTTAAGTTTTCCTGTAATTCATCCATGTCCAGGCAGAGAAGAACATATTGCTGGTATTTTTCTGCAAGGAGTCTAGACAAAGTGCTCCTAATCTACTATTTAAAGAATAAAGGCACGGATACAGAGACTAGGTATTTCTTAACCTTATCTAGATCTAGATAGGAGTTTTAAACACGTGTAAAGACAAAAGAATACTCAGCTTACATACAGAAGGCCAAGAGGCATATGAAAAAATGCTCAAAGTCACTCATCATCTGAGGGATACAAATCAAAATGCCAGCGAGGTATCACCTCACACCTCTCAGAATGGCTATCAACAAATCAGCAAAGAAGTGCTGGTGAGGATGTGGGGAAAAGGAACTCTAGTGCACTGCTGGTGGGAATGCAAACTGGGCAGCTTCTGTGGAAAACAGTATGGAGTTTCCTCAAAAAAATTAAAAATGGAATTCCAGTTTGACCCAGTGATGCCACTTCTAGGAATATATCCTAAGAAATTGGAAACACCCATTAAAAAGAATGTATGTACCCCTATGTTCATAGCAGCACAATTTACAATAGCTAAGATTTGGAAATAGCCCAAGTGCCCATCAGCAGATGAATGGATTAAAAATAACTTTGGGCCCTAGCCGGCTTGGCTCAGTGGATAGAGCAGGGGTCCTCAAACTTTTTTTTTTTTTTTTTTTTTTTTTTTTTTTTTTTTTTTGTTCCAGGCATGCGTTTATTGAAATCTGAGTAAAGGATTCCCACATGATACAGCATCTTTCCCCACCCCCTAGATTTGCTCCAACTTTAATTTTCAGTGACAGAAGATGCAAAGGGTGATACATGTCAATGGTTATAAAAATTTATTCTCTGTAGTAAAAAAAAAAATTCCTTTCAATGTGTCAGTGGTTTCTGAAGAACCCTCACCTCTGTAGTCAGCTAGCATGCCCATGGAAACTTGCACAGTCACAGCTAACTAGAGTACTGAGTGTCTACAGATTCATCCCCCAGCTTCCACTTTGAAAGACAAAAAGCATGGGGCAGAGAAAATAATCAAAGATGAGCCACTCAGTCCTCGGAGCCCTGCTAGATCTCCCAAGGCTCATCTCCAACAGCTCAATGCCTTCAAACATCAGATTCCAAATGTCCCACAATCTCTTTCAAATGTGTATTTTTATGGATTAGAAAATCAGCATTTCCTTGCAAGAATACACAAACAGTTTTCACCTTGAGAACCTATATAACTGAAAACTTTGGACTGATATTTTGGAGCTGAGAGAAGGGACAGCTGTAATGTCCTCTCATGGGTTTCAAGTTTGTTTTTTGTTGCTGGTATTTTTTAAACAAAGAAGAGAAGAAATATCCACTTTCTCTTTTGATCATCTCAGGTAGAACAATTTTTAGAAATCCTTAGGCTATCGTACCCAGGGCCTTTCATAATTTCCTTGAGAAAGAAATTAAATGGGAAACATGCAATACCAAGTTTTCAACTAGATATTCCCTTCCTCACATCATACAAACCTTCACGTCATACGACCTTCATTTAATTAATACATTAAATGACTCCACTAGACAATCAGAGATTTGAAACATTAAAGACAATTACATCCCACATTGACAGGCACACAGGGTGGTATATTTGAAAAGCCAGGTGCATTTTTGAAAGATCGTGCCTACAGTGAGTAAATCACGTAGTCGTGGGACGTTGAAAAAGAGTTGGTGAGGAAGAAGGCACAATGCGAAAGTTCAAGGGTAGACAGAACAGAACAGTTCTTTTTGACTTGGTTTGTTTCTAACATAGGAGAGGGAAATAGGTGTATTAAAATTACTTTTCAGGTGAAGGTTTCTGTTCGTCGAAGCAGCTAACACTGGCTTCTTTCTTCCTGATCCAAGGCAGCCTTTTCTTCCATCGGCTTCTGAGGAGGTGTTTAGTCTTCCGCCATGTAGAGGTGGTACATCAGGGCCACGACCAGTGCTGAGATGGCTGGGATCACCCAGTTGGTCCACCAGCTAGAATTTGAGTCAACCGTAGTAATGAGAGTTTCCGTGGGCTTGGTTATCTTTGGTCTGTCATCTGGATGCAGCTCCCCGATGATATATGTTTTGGACAATTCTCTAGCATCTGTCGAGTGCCCAACATCTTCAAAGTTCTCAGTAGCATCCCCTCCGGCTTGTTCCCGTAAGACTTCTTCCCCACCAGGATGCTCCTCCAAAAATTTGGTCACATCATACACCTTGTGGTGCAGGATCAGCCAGGTGCTCTTGCTGTGGTTGTGCTTCTGGATCTCCTCCAGGGTGTAGTACTTGACGGCCTTGTCCGACGGCTCGGCCATTTCGGAACACCGCGAGTTTCAGGGCCTGCAGACAGCAGCCACGCCGGGCGGAGCAAAGCGCGTCTCTCCGAGCCAGTGCTGGGACATTCCCCCCGGTCCCGGCGGGCGCCTGGGCGGTCCTCAAACTTTTTAAACAGGGGGCCCGTTCACTGTCCCTCAGACCGTTGGAGGGCCGGACTATAGTTTAAAAAAAAACTATGAACAAATTTCTATGCACACTGCACATATCTTATTTTGAAGTAAGAAAACAAAACGGGAACAAATACAATATTTGTATTTGCGTGTGGCCCGCGGGCCATAGTTTGAGGACCCCTGGGATAGAGCATCAGCCTGCAGACTGAAAAGTCCCAGGTTCGATTCCGGCCAAGGGCACATGCCTGGGTTGCAGGCTCAATCCCCAGCAGGGGGTATGCAGGAGGCAGCCGATCAATGATTTCTCTCTCATCATTGATGTTTCTGTCTCTCTCTCCTTCTCCCTTCCTCTCTGAAATCAGTAAAGAAATATATCTTAAAAAAATAAAATAAAAAATAACTTGGTACATTTACACAATGGAATACTATGCAGCTGTAAAAAGAAAGAACTCTTACCATTTGTAACAGCATGGCTGGACCTGGAGGGTATTATGCTAAGCAAAATAAGCCGTCAGAGAAAGATAAGTATCATATGATCTCACTCATGTGGAATCTAATGAGCAAAATAAACTGATGTACAAAATAGATCCAGAGACATAGAAACATGGAACAGACTGAGGAACCTTAGAGGGAAGGGGGGTGGGTGTGGAAGGAAGAGATCAACCAAAGAACTTGTATGCATACATTCATAACCCGTGGACACAGACAATAGGGTGGTGAAGCCCTGGGGTGGGGGGTGCGGGGTGGGCTAGTAGAGGTCAGTGGGAGGGAAGGGAGACATATGTAATACTTGCAACAATAAAGATTTTATTTTTTTAAAAAGAACTCACCTTAATGAGACAGGTCAAAAAGCTGTCAGGTACCTTTTAAAACAAGTTCTACATTAATGTGGTTTGAAATTGTGTTTAATTTAAACTAGCAAATTTTCTGTGTGCTTTTTTTCTCTAACCCATAACATTTGGAAAATGTAAAGAAACCAGATACCTCCATTATAATAAGTTTCTTGTCAGGTCTGTGGTCCATGCTCCCTGAAATCTTTTGGACACTTCCCCCCGCCCCCCCCCCCACAAAAAAAATAATGTATTCCTCTGATTAATACAAAGTTCTGGTTACAACCTTATATAGTTCTCTGAAGACCCAACTGTACGCTTCTTAAAAGTGTCCCATTTTAAAGTTGGTATTAATTGATTGCCCTCAGATTTACAGAGAAGCTACATAGGAGACCTGCATTGCTATTGATTGATAAATATTTTTATCTTATATTCACAAGAAGAAAATACAATGTGTGTGAAATAAAATGCCTTCTCACTCAAGATTTGCACTTCCCAACCTATTCCTAAGAAATTGTCAATACAAGCAGATGACTCAAATAGTGAACTACTGTCCTCCCACCACCTTGTCATTGGATACCATACTTCAAGATGTGTCACCCATAGGGCACTGGATGATCGCTCCGATGGGTCGATTCTTCACATTTAATTAAATTAAAGTTTCTTTGTACCGTGTGCTTTTCCCAGGGACAAAGACAGAAACTGCTAAGACTGCAGCTTAGAAAAGCAGTTGATGTCATTAACTTGCATATCCCTGAATAGGATAATTATGGATATTCGGGAAAGAATCCACTCCATTGGTTTTCAAAAGCCTTGACCAGCCAGGGTTGAGGCACTGCTTCAGCCAGACAGTCAGAAGCTCTTCTTAATAATTACCGTTGAGCTAAGACTGAGCAACTGAGGTCAGGGTCTTTTCTTCATCTTTTTATTCCCAATGCCGAGTAGAGTGGCATTGAAGCTTAATA